GGCTTACCGGCGTCTTTACATGCTGCTTGTCCTGGCAGTGGCTGCAGTGTCTCTCCCCCTTCTTCCTGTTTCCCCAAATCTCCTCTCTCTTTGTCCCGACTATACTTCCTGCCTGGTCACTGGCCATCAGTGTTTTATTTATATAGAGTGATATCCACAACAGAAATATATGTATATTACAACAAATACAGTTCTGTATTTGTATCAATATACAAATTATCTGGAATAAGAATATAAAAATAGCTTACATTTATTAATTTATTACATCAATACACAGGAATCCATAACAGTACAATTTACCTAAGGCTGATATTTTACTAAATTAGTTTACTAGTATATACAATAATCTACCTTAATATCCTATACCTATCCATTCCCCTTTTTTTCATTTCTTAAGGGGAATACCGAGTCCAATGTTTTCTTTCACCCCCAACCCTATAACCATTATCCATAACCCTCAGAAACATGAAACTTTTGGGAAAAAAAGAGCATCATTTTCTTAGAATTGCTTCCTGCTGTTCAGGGGGCGATGGTGTCTCTGTGGAGTTCTATAAAAAAGCTCAGATAGTTAAGTCTCAGTTGGACTAACTATAGATTCTGCAGCCAGTCTCAGAGTAATGGGTAAGATTGTCTGAGATTCTGGCTAGAAGTGTAGTATGATGATGAGTACCATAGCATCATTCTGGACTGTGTAGAGTTGTTGTTGTGGGGCCCCATCTTCCTTCTGGAGAAATCAGAGATTGCTATTGGAAAAACTTATTTTTTTACTGTAAAAAACTTGAACATTATTAATATCAAAATGGAAAGGTTGGATTTAAAGATGACATGACAGTAAGAAAGGATTCCAAGAAATCAGGAATAAGCATGGAGAGAATTAGAATCTTGAAGACAATGGTCCCTTTTTATTGGTTTTCTTCTGTCCCACACTAGACAGCTCTTCTGATATGACACAGAATCTCTCAACCTTTTTCTTTTAGCAGTATGCTTGGGTTTAGAGGAGGAGTGAGACAATTCCAACTCCCAAACCAGCATGGTAATATAATTGAATTGGAACCACAACGTTTCTAGAATTAAAGAGATATAGATGGTAGGCAGTGAGATATTACCCTGTGTAGACTGGTATCAATAGATTTTTTTCTTTCCACTGTAGATGTCTGGATATCCAAGGCCTTATGGTTTCTGGAAGATGGGTGTTTCTGTTGTGCTGTAAAGACAAAAACAGAACCCTACCCCATCCTTTGTTAAGTTTCTCTTACAAGTTGTAGAGATGTCACATTGCTGGATAAGCTTTTACTTCTCATCATCAAGGGGTTTCTCCTGTTCAAATCAAATTTTTATTAATTTTGTTGGTATCCATAGCTTTTCTTCTCCTGCAGAAACAAAAGCAAAACCCCTTCCCCAACATAGGTCGTATCCTGGTTTCCATTCTGAGGTCAACACATCTTTGAAATAAACCGGTTGATTTAGCTCAGAAGTTTTGTCTGTCATCCAATGTCTCTCCACAGCTGTTCCTTTCTCATCGGCATTGAGAAAATTCAATGTTAATAAAGCATTATGCAATCAATTTCTAGGAGTCATTGTTACCTGTTGTTGTTTATTTAGCATATACTTTAGAGTTTGATTTGGTCTTTCTATGACTGCTTGGCCTGTGGGATTGTGTGGTATACCTGTAACATGCTTTATATTGTAATAAGCAAAAAACTGTCTCATTTTATTGGAGACATATGCTGGGGCATTGTCTCTCTTAATTTGTACAGGTATTCCCATGATGGTCATAGCTTCTAATATGTGTGTAATCACAGAATCAGCTGTAGCAGTAACGCCCACGCTACCACCACCCATTCACCATGTCCAAGCAAGGGGCTGTGGATCGAAAAACAGAGACAAGAGATAGCGGGTCATTTGCCTCAGCAGAATGCTGAATGCCATTTATTGAAGAAGGGAGGAAACCTTAAATGCA